GGCGAGCTGGTTTGCTTCGGATACAATGACGATGGTCGGTGCGATGTGCCGCCAGGCTTCAAGGTTCGACTTGCCTCACAGTCCCGCGATCCAATGCAGGAGGTGCTGCAGCCGGTGCATCACGAGGAGCCCGCCGCCGACATCTCGGAAGAGGAGGGCGCTGCAATCGTGGCAGAGCAGGAAGCATCCTGGATCGAGCACAACATCGGATTTGGCTGGCATGGCGACGATTTGCAGCCTCGGATGAATGCTGGCCTCACTCGGGTCGTGCATTTGACGTTGAGCCGCTCGCATCGCCAGCTGGACACAGATTTGGAGCAGTCTCTGGCCTTGCAGCCATGTCGGCAGGCCCTGCAGGAGGAGGGCTTGGACTGGCGCTTGCAGCCCTCTGGCGCTAAGATCTTCATGGAGCCTTGGTGCTTCCGAGCCGTCCGCAGTCATTTGTCCGCCATGCGGCTAAGGCCCTGCGACATCTTCGTCTCAGAAACATTGGAGAATGAGGTCATGCGAGTGATCCGGCAGATCCCCCGCAGCCTTGGCGTGATACCAAGAAGCTCCCAGAGCATTGCCTTTGCGGACGAAGATGGGGAAGCGGTGCTGGTCAGACGCTCCTTTCTAAACATTCCTTCCGGGATGTTGCTCAGTGCAGCCTCCGTGGTGCAGTCCACGACAGAGGCACGGACGGCTCACGGAAACCACGGCGCGAACCCACGCAGGTTCCAACCGCACTTAGGGCACCCTAATTAGCAGATATGTGCAGACCTTGGGAAAGCCATCACAGCATCGGCTCCTAGCGATCGTCGCGACAGAGAAAATGTCGGAGGTCTTCCCGTTGTACAGCTGTTGTTTGCCAGAGCGTCTTGGAGTGACTTGCTTTTAGCTTCCTCCAAGACCGCATTTGGCAGAGATGTGGCCGTTGAGCCGGAATTGGAAGCTGCCCTTGGGCTGTCTTTCTGGAGTGACTTGCTTTTAGCTTCCTCCACATGAGCAGCCACAAGAGTGACTTGCTGAACCCGGTTTCGTCAGCGCTGCGGAGCCCGGATGCTCTAAAAACTCGCGTGCGATGAGTGGCCTCACCTCCAGACACACTTGCTAGTCTGCCAGTTTCTGCTTTGTGTGATTGTGGTTCCGTTCTTGTCTTGGGGTTACACGGCGGACATGGCTTGGTGTGTACTTGTAGCTGGTGCATCATAGCACTCATCCAAATTACAGTGTATCACAGTCACTTTCAGTAGTATGGACATGCTGTTATACTACTACCAACGAATACATGATAGCTCTCTCCAGAGCTTCAACCTTCAATCTAGGGAGAAGCTCTCAGCACTCCTCTCAATTCGAAGCATCTCTTAGAGCAGAATCCAGTCGAAGGTTCCTGAACTTGTGGACCCTTCAAGCAAGGACCCTATAGTACTAATCAGGGTCTACATTATTCGGGTTCCGCATTTTTAATATAGCGTCCCCTTTTTTTCTGTTTCTTCCGGCAGGACGTGGCCAAGCAGACGGAGGGCATGTCGGGCCGCCAGCTGGCGAAGCTGGTGTTGGCCTTTCAGCCCCTGGGCCCGAAATCGCAAAGGCAGGATTCAGGCTGAAGGCGTACCTGAGCTCGCTGGAGGCCTTTAAACAGAGCGTACTGAAACTTCTGCAGAAGTCGGGCTCAGGGATCAGGATTAGCGGTTTTGTGCCATGGTCTGTGGTTTTGATTGCCGGGTCATGGGATGTGTCGCGGCTAGTGTGTTTGTCGTATTGACCCGAGACGAGGTAGGGAGAGTCTCGTGAAAAAGTGAGGGCTCCGAAGATTCAGGTCCAGCTGTGAACGGTTAAGCTTCAAAAGAACACACTCAATTCCAATACCATCAACACCCGAAGATGTTTATGAAAGTTTATGCTTTGGGTTCCACACTGTAGACTTCTCCAGGACCCAAACCTGAATCAGTGTATTTGCATGAGCGTGCTTCAGTGGTTTACCATTCGTTGCCCGCAACGCCCCCATGCCAGAATAGATGAATACGCGTTTCCAATTGCTTCTTGATGTCGATCCCTGCGTACAGCACCCCAAAATCCGCTCTTTTCAAGGTCCGCGGTCTTCGGCTCAGGGACGACCCGCCTCACACAGGGGCTGGCACAGACGGTGCTTCAGTGGCGCCTGAGCCATCCTAACGCCTGATTCCCTGGGACTTAGAAAAAATGTTTAAGGAGACGAGGTACAAGTGGTATTCCTCGGGAGTTAGACGGGCCGGGCTTAAAGATAGCTATAGCAGAGCAGATCCTAAGGGAGATGGCCCATTCCGTTGGGTCTATTTAGACTATTATAGAAGAGCTTGAGATCAAGGGGTTCCAGAAGGCTGCAGACGTTCCCTCGCGAATTCTGCTGCTTGAGGTTTGAGGGTCCCAGAGCATCTATATGCTTACGGGGTCGGGTCACTGGAGATGTGGGGCTGGATGCTGTGTAAATGGCTTCCGTGGTGTAGGGCTTCAGGACCTTGAGTTTAGGGTTTTGGCTTCATGATCAGGGTTTAGGGAGTCAGAGTGTGTGTTTGGGATACTGGATTTTAGGCACTTAGAAAGGCTTCAAGGGTATCATGAGACTGGCTGCTGCAGTTTTCAGGGACAGTAAGACAACCCAAATTGAGTATGTAGAGATGGTTCCAGGACTATGGATCGGCAGGTTTCTGCAGTTTTACCCAAAGGGTTTAGCAACAGATATGCAAGTCAGAAGAAACCATAGTTCTTAAACCAGATCTGATGAACGGGTTGCAGGAGCCGGGAGTTGCTAGGAAGCCTAGGACAGCTGGAAGTTCTCGCGAGTTGTTGCTTTGCGCCTGGCTTTAAAGTCTCAGAGAGCGTTGTAAAACAACCTTCATTTACAGAGTTTCGGGCACATTGTATGGGAACTGGGTATGGGGCTCCAGATTTGCCGCAATGGAAGCATCTTGTGGGTTTCGGGCACGATGGCTCTCGCTGGTCCTTGTTTCGCTTCCCTTTTTTCCCCCCTTCGCTGGGGCTTTCATCGTGTCCAGGCGCTAAGTCGACTCTCAGACGTTAACGAGATTTGGGTCCATTGCATCACTTAGTGACCGAGGGTTCAGTGCATTTTCTTCTTGCCATGTCAGATCTGGTCTGTTTAAAGAATGCAGTAGCAAAACCAGGAAAATCTGGCTGCTGTGGCCAGGATCCTTCAAATTTCGCAGGTCTAACTGGTCAGGGGAAGAAGCACCACATGAAAGGCCAGTCACCAAAATGACAGTGACGACGTGGTCTCAACATTCTAGATGCTGGTGCCTTAGCCGTATAGAACCGACTTGTTTTCCGACAACTTGACGAGTTAAGCCGACTTTCGCGCAGACTGGTGCTTGGACCAGGTTCAGTTTCGTTTGACCGCCGGATGTTTCTCGACTTCGACACTCCATTCCTCGGAGTATGGACTACAGTATTATAGCTCGCAAACTCTGGTTCGGATTCAGAGTCTTGGGGTATCATCATCTCGCAGAAGCGAGTTTATCTGACAGGTGTTCTTCTTTGAGGAATGTGAAAGACTCACAGCATGACCCCACAGGATCTGAGACCGCACGGTAACAAAGCTTCGGATTTATCGGAGCAGGGTCATGGCGGTCTGACCCTGCACTCTTGAATGGAAACCCTGGATCCCTGACCCATTGTGGCCAATAATCCTAAGACCTTCAGTATACCAGTCCCCCAAGCCCTCAACCTTGAACCCTAAACCCCCCGAAGTCCTCATGCCCTGCACCCTGCAACCTCGATCCGTCAAGTCTGGACTTTCGAGCGTCGAGAAGCTGGCATTTGCAGAGTTTTGGTCTGGTTGCAGTTAAAAAGTCGCTCCCCGCCCCCCTGGCATGTGCTCGCTGCTGGAAGCCTTTTGTCTGCCCTCGCTGCTGGAGCTTGATCTTTTGGCTTAGCGTTTAGGGTTTCGGGTGCTATCTCTTGCCTGAGGAAGCCAGGCTTGAGTTTGAAAGCGCTTGGCTATAGCCTCAACCCGGAAGCTCAAGGATTCTGGGCTTCAGAGTATGTTTAGTCTCGGATGCATCTTCTGACTAATATCTACCCAAGACCTTGAGCCAGGAGGCATAGACTCAAACTTTTGGCCTTGACCTGAAGCTGAACTGTCTATACCACTAGGCCCTTGAATCAGAATCGCGAGCTTTATGAACTCCACTTTCTGTGGCATCGCTGGTCTGGATTGAAAACTTTCTAGCAGATTCTAGGTGTTGCCGAAGCAAAGTGGTGGCTCACGTCTGTACTTCTTTGTCGGGCTTCCAGATGCACACCAGGCCCCACAAGACCTCTAAATATCTGTAAGCCCCAATCCCCGGTTTCGGGTTTAGGCTTGTAAGGGGCTGCTGTCCAGCTGCATTCTACTTTAGATCTTCGTTTCTCCGCAGCTTCGGGCTTCCGAGCTTGCAAAGTGCCCGCCGATCGATCAGCGGGATGGAGCCGTCGATTCACAGGCCATGCGAGCTTTGGGGATTGAGGGGCTTTGGTAGGGGCCTTGCGGGTCTACTTACGGTATATACCTATAGTCTCCATTGTAGTTCCTTTTTTTGGTTAACCAAATTTATATGAAAGGATCCTAGCCATAAAAAGGAACTACAATGGAGACTATTATAGGTACACTGAATCATGTGGCCTCATGGAGGCTCCTCTTTCGGGGATTCGGGAGGTTAGCTTTCAGGTGTCTGGTTCAAAAACTGGGGTTTAGGGTTTATAGGGTTCAGGGTTTAGGGTTTAGGGTTTAGGGTTCTCACGTGGGTGTTAGGATCTGTAGGGTCAGCCCAGAGTAGTCCTCAAAACAAGGGTGCTTATCAGGCTTTACCTTGCCTTCCAGTGTTCCTCCACTCACCAACAGACGGCAATCATTGTCGTAAGACAGAACGCACCCTGCAAGCAATGAGGGTCGCTCCAAGACTTCTTCTTCTCTCCAGGAATGCCCAGCTCCTGAACGTGGAATCAGCGGACGACAAATTCGGGGAGGACCGGGCCTGCGGCTCTTTCACAATGCTTGAAGCGCAAGTGCAGCTTGTGCAGTATCATGCAGTGCAGCTTTTGACGTGCGACTCGCGTCACAATGAAAGCTGCTTTCGAACATGCCCGCGCTTTCGTCTCAAGCCTATTCGGGCCGGGGGCTAAAGGACTAGCCGACACATCACTATGGCTCTGCGAAGATTGGGGCACAGTGGCCAGAATCAAAGCCGCTGGTCAGGATGTCTTCCCAAAGTTCCTTAAACCCCGAACCCCAAAGCCGAATATGCCGGCAAACCCTCTCGTAAGTTACACCCGCCTTTTTGCGCCCCCACTCGGCAGGATGTGGCGATTGAGGGCACGGCGCGGGCTCGTCGTCCCGATGGGACCTGGGGAAAGGTGCCGGGGTTTGTTTACGCCGCTTTCGGGATATTCGTGGTTCAGTGTGTAGAGGTGGTGCTGGCGAGGTCGGCCATAGCAGGTGCAGTAGAGGTACATGAGTTAACAATTGCTATACGCATTTCTGGCGGTAGTGTTGGCGACCTGGTGTGGCGATCATTTCTCGAGATCATATAATCATATAGTTACCGCCACCATGCTGGGAAACGACAACATAACCTCCATCATCAGAACCACCATCAAATTCACCAGTATCCTGGAACATGATGTCAAAGCCATCCTCAACTTGTCGTCATCGCATC